TTGAAAAGTCGTTTCCCTTACACTACTTTTGTCGTACCCCTGGTGTGGAATTCATACTTCTAATCGGCAGGAATAGAGGAATAGGAATAGGGAAGTACAGGTCATGGGGTAAGAATATGATGGGAATCGGAGTCTATCTCATACTTTTTTCAATCCCATCATGTCACTCTTACCTTCCTGCTTTATGTTCTCTTACTCTCCTACTCCTACCCTCTTGTTCCTTTTCATCTACTTTACCTTCCTGTTCTTCTTATTATCATACCGCTGCTCTCCTATTCCTGCTTTCCCACTCCTGCTCTCGGCCACTCTTAGTCTCCTATTCGTACCTTCCTATTCCCATGTTCACAGTCCTACTCTCCTACTTCCATGCTCATGCTTCTGCTGCCCTTGTACAGTTTCCAATCCCCCGGAGGTTTTCAATTCCCTTCTTTCCTATTCTCCACCCCCCATTCTCCTGTTCTCCTCCTGTGCTACTCTTCTGCTGTCCGGTTCTCTTACTTTCTGCCTACTCTCCTACTCCTGCTCTTCTAACAACACACTCTCCTCTCCCACTCTCTGACTTCTACTCTCTTACTCCTGGTTTCTTACTCGTTTTCTCCCGCTCCTACTCTTCTATTCCCTCGCTGTGATGTGATTCGTAGTCTCCCTGCCCCTAGTCTCCTCTTTCCATTGGATTACTCTTCTATTCCTACTCTTTCCCATTTGCTCTCCTACTCCTACTCTTCTTTTCCTTCCTTTCACGGAGTAGGCATCGAGGTAGGGCAGTAGGAATAACAACAGTGGTAGAGATTGGGACAAGCCTAGGGATACCGTACCTGTAGGAGCAAGGTCAGAACAAAAGTAGAGGTAGAACATGGTAGAACCTTAGAAGTAGCGCTAAGCGGAGGTGTAGCGCAGCTTGGGGGGCGGTAAGGAGCGGGAAACAAATTTAGAGAGAGTAGAAGTAGAAGAGTAGGACAGGTAGTCTAGAAGTAGACATAAGAGAGCTGGAATAATAATAAGATAGTAGATGTGGTGGTGGGAATTGGGAAAACTAGGAAGGCTCAAGATGTGTGTAGGGGAGAGTCAGGGTAAGAACAGGAATAGCGGTAGAAGTCGGCGTAAGAGGAGGTGCACGGCGGGTAAGGAGTAGGACACTAAATTGAGCGAGTAGGAGTTAAAGAATAGAACAAGTAAGTAGTCTAGATTGGACATGAGGGAGTTGGAGTAAGACCAAGAGAATGGGAGTGGAACATTAAAAGTAGGAGGATAAGGGGGTGGAGGAAACAGGAGCTTGAGTAGCGGCATGGGACGGTAGGAGTCGGGGGATGGGAATGTATATGCAAATAAGAGACGGAGAGATAGTAACAGTTAGAGTAGGAGAGGAGGAAGGCAGGAGTAGAAGTTGAATAGGAGAAGGAGAGTCGTACCAGGAGAAAGCGAATACAAGAGTAGGAGTAGCAGAATGACAGTGGGAGAACGGAAACGGAAAGGTAGGAGTAAAAGAGTAAGAATGCAAGAACCTGTGCAAGAATCTGCTATTGCTGTTCCTACTGTCCTGCTATGCAAATCTTCTAGTGCTTTTCCATGCTTTTCCCGTACTCCTACTCACGTATCACGTATCCACCTATTCTTACACTTACCTTCCTACTCTGCCACTTCAATTCTCCTACTCTTACTCTTACTCTCTTGAAAATCAATACAACTCATTGAAAATCATTTCCCTTTCATTGCTTTGTTTTCCCACCCCCAGGGTCGAATCCATCCTACTCCCTACTCCCAAACATGCATCGCCCATTCTCTCCTGCCCATGGCCCTACGCCTATTCTCCTATGAGAAGAGAGTATTCCCATATTCCTATTCAAAGTCTCTTGTGGTTTTCTCTCGATCCTACTCTTCGAAGTCTATTTTGGAATTTTATTCTCCTCCTTGAAATGAATCAGGCAATCGAGGCTGCAACCTTGTCAACGTGCTTTAAATACCACACGAAAACGGAGCAGGGGTTTGGCAACTTTGCGTGTCAAGATTTGGCGCGATCGGGCTGCGACCCTGTAAAAGTGCTGTGAATACATGTGAATACCACACGAAAACCTAGCAGAGGTTTAGAAACTCTGCGTGTCAAAATTTGGTGCGATCGCACTAAGACCTTGTCAAAGTGCTGTAAACACCACACGAGAACCGAGCAGGGGTTTAGCAAGTTTGCGCGTCAAAATTTGGTGCGATCGGGCTGCGACCTTGTCAACGTGCTTTAAATACCACACGAAAACGGAGCAGGGGTTTGGCAACTTTGCGTGTCAAGATTTGGCGCGATCGGGCTGCGACCCTTTAAAAGTGCTGTGAATACCACACGAAAACCTAGCAGAGGTTTAGAAACTCTGCGTGTCAAAATTTGGTGCGATCGGGCTAAGACCTTGTCAAAGTGCTGTAAACACCACACGAGAACCGAGCAGGGGTTTAGCAACTTTCCGTGTCAAAATTTGGTGCGATCGGGCTGCGACCTTGTCAACGCGCTGTAAACACCACACGAAAGCCGAGCAGGGGTTTAGCAAGTTTGCGTGTCAAAATTTTTTGCCATCGGGCTGCGACCTTGTCAAAGAGCTGTGAATACCGCACGAAAACCGAGCAGGGGTTTAGCAACTTTCCGTGTCAAAAGGTGGTCAATGCGTAGATTTTGACTGGCTGTCGCTGATATAGCTTTAGATTCTTGACATTCCTTAAATTCCTTCGAAACTTTGATTGCAAATTCCTTAAAACTCCTTAAATTCCTTGTTTTTTAAATATGTAAAAACCCTCTGAATTCGTTAAATTCCTTGAAAAGTTCAATCAATGAATAGATTTAAGGAGGTTAAAGAGTTTAAAGACTTTAAAGAATTGAAGGATTTGAAAAAAGTACGGAATCTAAAGACTTTCAGACGTTTAAAGAATTTGAAGCATTTAAGGAATTGAAGGAATTTAAAGAGTTGAAGGAAGACATAGAATTTGAGGAATTTAAACAATTTAACTATTTTCAGGAATTTACAGAGTTCAACAAGTTTCAGGAATTTAAGGAATTTACAACATTCACAGAATTTATGCAATTAAAGAATTCAAAGAGTTCAAGGAATTTAAAGAATTTGAGGAGCTTCAGGAATTTACAGAATTTAAAACACAGAAAAACCTTTTAAGAATTTAAAGAATTTCAACATTTTAAAGAATTTCAAAGGGTTTTAACGAGTTTCAAGAATTGCAGCTTTAAATATTGGAAACAAAAATACAGTAGGAAGACTTTGACGTCAAATAGTACATAAAGGTCCTACGTACATACATTTACACGCATATGCATATATATCCCAAACACACGAAAAAGGTGGATCCATGGGGGGGGGTACCATATATATATATATATATATATATATATAATTTTTTATTTACACAAAACGCACACACACAGACACACACACACACACTCACACACTCACACACACACACACACTTTACATAACTTATACGGCACCTGGGATTATAAGGTTATGCCCCAGTTTGCGCACAGACAAACACGTAGAGCTGAAATAAGCCCGTTTGCACCACGCCTGTGGGCTGCAGAAGGTTGCCGGTGCCTACCTTTGTGGCAAGCACTGCTGGCATGGTTGTTTCGAAGTGCTTGGCTGCGCGGAGCGTTGAACACACAAACACAATGCCACCATTTTTGTGCTGAAGATCCAGATCTTCGCGCATCAGAGGTCGCCGAGCCAGCGTTCTGCCGCCCATCTTGCTGAAACATGGTGATGTCGGCGGAACTGCCATGATCGGAGCGAAATATCCTTGGCATGTAAAAAGTTCAGCGCATGTGTCCCCGCATGTCCATGCGTATATTACGGAAAGGTCTGCTACCACCGCTGTACGGCGGTCGGTCGCATCTGACGCAGGCAGCCGCCAATACTGTAGGCAGCAGACAGCGTGCCAGATTTGCCAGACGTTGCCAAGCATGCTGAGCCAATGAAAGCAGAGTTTTGATCATGTAAAAGACACACTTTCAGCTATGCAACATACGTGGACGGTGGCACGAATGCTGGGCACACTTCTTGACAAGGTGCCATGGGATATGGCCGAAGTGCACGCTGTTGAACCAGGCATTGCCGAGCCAGTCGCTGCCTGCAAGGACAAACCACCCGCGGTTCGAGCCACAGTGCTGAGTCGAGTATTTCGTCACCAAGAACTGCGGTCAATACTGGGTACATTCTAGTCCAAGGCAGTTGAGAAGCCCGTGAACAAGGGCAACTGTACCTAACCCGCTCCTGAGGATGTAAGCTCGAGTTTAGACCTCATAAATCCTGCTAAGCCGCATGCCCGGCGGCATCACTTGAATAGTCAGTGTCGTGGAGGCGGGAACTAGTGGGGTGATTTCAACAAGCTTACGATCTGTGAGAATCGAGGAGCTGGGGGCAGCGCAGGAACTGCAGGGATCGGCCTTGCAGACCGTTTGCAGGCTGAATGTTTGCGTATTGACGCATGTGGTGCTACAGGCTCTCTATTATTGAGCCAGGAGGCTCCGCAATTTGACGTGCAAAATCAATAAGGCTGGTGCCTGGGCGCACATCTGCATCTTTCAGGGTCTGGCATCACTTGCAAATCTTGCAAGCAAGCAGCGGCTATATTCCAAAGGCACGTCGCCACCCGGAAAGAGATCCACGGCTCGATTTGCCCTGATCCTTGCTTGAATCGAAAAGGCACCGGTCCAAAGCCAAGTCAGAGTCTCACGAGCCACAATGACCTCCTTGTTGCGGGTATGCGTCCATTCCATGATGGGGCTGGTATTTGATGTGGCCTCTGCCGAAGTCTGGGATTCCATTGGCAGCCACATGGGACCCACGCTCGTCTTTGGACAATCACATCGGGTTCGCCGAGTGAAGCACTCTGCTGTGAACCGGCAAGGGAGGGATATGTAACAAAAGCAGGGTGACACAACGGATTGCAAATGTTGAAGGCAGCGTGAGAAGCGCCGCATGCAGAACATAAACATACATAAACCGAGTTGGAACAGCCTTCTTCGAGCCATCTCTGAAAAAGAACCTGAAGCAGGTACTTCGAATGCTTTCCAGGCTGGAAACGGTCGTCTGCACAAGCTACAGCATCTGAATCTGAGATCTGCCCAAGAAGCTGTACCATCTCAACTTTGAACTTGCTCACAAGTGCCCGAATCCTAGCAGAACCGAAGGCGCAGAGCTCTGTAGCAGTGCACGGGCTTGTGAACGGCCTTGTCAGCACCGGGCGCTGGGAGGAAGTGACCTAAGCTTGCGAATCCCGGAGTTGGGCAGGAACAGATGTAACTCAGGCACAAGCGAGTGCTGTTTCCTCGCAGTGAAAGCCCGACTTGATGCGATTTGTTTAATTATGTGACGGAGAGATTGCCTCTGGCACCTCCGACTCACCCAAAGCGCTCCGAACCTTCGCAAGTCAGCCTAGCTCTCAAAGGCAACCCCCAGCTCTGATCGTGGAGCCTCCTGGCTGAGGCAGCGAGAAAGTTTGGCCCTGATCTCGTCAACCGCCTCAGGAAGGGAGGGACCCGGGAGGGAGGAGAACAAAACAAACGCGAAACCAGCAACAACGTCATTGCAAAAACTGCATAGCAGCTTGTCTTCGGTGGCTGCAAGGCCGGTTCATGCTGGAAGCCCGTCCACTGCGAAGAAACATGGTTGCTGGATGGTTCGGAATAGAAGCCATTTTGGACTTGCAGGTCCTGATGGTAGGAACCAAACTTTCGACGGACACCTTCAATTGGCAAGCAACTTTGGAAAAAGTCGAAAAGAAAATGCAGTAACTGCCAGAGTCACGGTCGACAGTGAGAGTAGACCAGTGATCCACTCTATGAGCATGCATCGTTTTCGCCAGAATGTGTAATGCAACTTTCCGCGAAGCATGCAGCACATGTACTCCGCAAGCTGCAAGCGGAACTGAAATGACAACAATCGGATGAGAACTGAATTCGAGCAGTGCGCAACCATGGCACCGATTCGAGTAAACTTTGGCACGGGAAGCTGCCGTCTCACGCAACGCAGACCAGCAACATGCCTCGTGTCCGGAAGGCTGGTGCTGTAACCCGCAGCAGCACTAGCTTGTTGTGCAAATGATGACTTCAGTGATCTTCCGTGCCAACTTCCACAGTGTGAGGTGCGTTTCAGCGGCGCAAAGTAGCATGGAAACTGAAAGCTGGAGTCAAACCTTAGCCACATTTGTTGGGGTTCAAGACAAGCAACCCCCAAGAATCAACTTATCCAGTGCACAGTCTCGGTTCGCCTGATTTTGCTCGGATTGATGCTTTTGTCTGCCTGACTCTACCCCTGACGCTAGAGGCCTAGAATATTCTAGGCCTAGAAGCATCAGCAACTCATCCTGAGGGTTCCGAACCAAGCGAGAGCCAAGACCAGTCGTTGGCACGATCGCGTGGTGGGCATGATCTCAAAAGCAGTTGAACTGAACCTGTAACCTGAAGTAACCTGAAATGGAGCAAGAACGCAGAACACACGCAAGCTGCATTTGCTGCATAGTTTGCGAAACAAGCTGGTGCCGGCATGTCGTGGCATGGCACCGGACTGATTGGACCGCGTCACAGCCGCTGGTCGTTATGAGTTCTGGATTTGCTGGTATGCTAACTGCAAAACCGAAACGTCACGGCTCGGAGTGGGTGGCAAGCAATATCAATCTCAAAACAACGCCCGTGCGACGCAACTAACACCCCTTCTTTGTTTGGCATCGTCGTTCTTACAGCTACGTGTTCTTATCACAGAGAAAGATCTGGGCTGTCGTTATCTGCCACGTGTGGGCTCGGAAGAGAACGATGTTGTTGCCACAACAGCCTAAAATTGAGTTTGGTGAGGATCCTTGGGCTCTCCCAGAACTATGCGGACTGGCTTCACTGCGTTTGCTGCATCGTACCCGGTGACGTTCACAGCCCGAACTTGCTTGAACAGATAAGTGTTGAAGGGAGGACATGAGGTCTGTTTGTTGACTGTACTGTATCGACACCCGCGATTGCACTACCATTAATGGCAAAAACATGCAGTACATGTCGACGTGTCCGTCAACGCTCACCAGCCACAGCATGCTGCAGCGTCTGAAACAGCTCAGGACGAAACGCAACCAGCTTTACTTGCTTGGAGGATTGCCTCGCATCCGCAAGACGCCAACCAAGGTAATAACCAAAACCATTCGCATCAGCTCCGCTGCCAACCTCATCTAACAGTGCCTTTGCAGGTCCTTTCTCCTGGCGCACGCGAGGGTCATGTACAACACGTCGGTCTGCCACGAGGCCATGCTAGCAGAAACCAGCAGCTTGCTGTCGAGTCTTCCTCTTCACCCAACTCCTTTGAGTACCTGCGCATCATTTGCACCCTTGTTCACATCTTCCTGTAATGCTCCCCACCTCCGCGCCGGTTCAAAACACTGAAAACTAGACGATGGGTAGTTTTAAATAGGGTGCCGTACTATTTGGGGACCTAGGTCAGGTCAGTCAGTCATACGCCGCGCGGCGAGTGGACAGATATGGCGTGACGAGCGGACAGGGGTCATGTACAAGTCTGGCTACTTCACGGTGGCCGCCCAAAGCTGCTTACTTGGGAAACCCATTCTCGTCTCGGTCGACCTACTCGCCTCACGTACCTGTTGGTAGCAGGCTGAAGACCTAAGACACGAGCATGTCAGAAGCGGCATTGCAGCGTGCCCGACGTAAAACAAGCGTGTTTGACAGGCCGCGGTTGAGTTCAGGCTTGAAGGTGTGGCAGTAGAGGAGGCCCCCGGTGCCGATCCTAAGCTACAAACGGAACTAGGGCTTCAATTACAAACGTTTAGGGTTTAGACGCGGACTCGGGCCTAAACCATATACGTTTAAACACGGGAAATCAAAGAAGGCGGGATACCAGTGATACGATGTAGACATCGGTTTTGGAAACCATCCAGACGTCGACGTTCGGCTGCGGGAAGACATAAGCAACTCAGACCATGCATCGGTTTTGATTCAACCAGAGTTATGTAAATATGAACCTTCCGATGAACAGGAAGCGAAGCGTGCTTCCAAACTTTTGGCAATTCAGTAAAGTCTGCTATCGCCATCCCGATGCGGCGACCAAGCTCATGTCCGGGCAAACCTGTGTGGATGACGACGGCACCGAGATAGTTTATGCCAGGTACTGATTCGATGTGTTCCGCAGGCTCTACAGTGAACGGAACGTAATTGAAACTTGTCCCGATGAAGCTCCATACCGTATAACTTTCTGGCATCGGCGACTCTAGAAAGGAACTCCTGCAGGTGACCATCGGAAGTTGCGAGGAGTACTGTGTCATTTGCATAAACAATGTCAGCCACATCTCCCTTTTCATAGGCAGCTGCAGATGGTGCACCGAGGTTGGAAGCCCGCATGAACATGTTGACACACTAGCACTTGATGAACACAAAGTGCATAAGTGAGTTCTGAAACTCCAAGCGCCAAATATCAAATGACCACATAAAAGGATGTTAAACGGCACATCGCAGTATTGCCGAGCATTACTTTCAGCCGGCCACAGCGCAAACATTTTTCCGGTTCATCTGTGGACTGATTACCTTTCTATGTCACAAATCATGTCCATGGTTCAGGACTTTAATTCGCGTAGCACTGAATTCGGATTTGATCGTGGTGTCATCATTGCAGCGGATATGCAAGATTGTTTTCGGCATCTCCCGGTAGAGTTAACCGCTGAAATGTGGGATGCATTGGCGAATTATTGGGTCGATCGGGGCGTTTCTTATGTCAGTATCCCGGCGAAGCGCTTGAACACTCGCGGGGTGCTGGGATTTCGCGACGAACCGCATTGGAGGCCAGTGTCTTTGGCTACTATCCGATGTGTCCTTGTCAACTTTGTACAAACAAACTTCATCTTGGTAGGAAAGTTGCTAGGGACCGAGCGGCAAGGTGCTCCCCAAGGTGATGCCCTCAGTTCGGCCCTTTTGCGCTTGTGGAAGTGGTTTCGAGAGTTTTCGTTGGTAAAGGCTCACATGCGCAATGCTGTTGTCTTTCCTGACTCGAAATGTAAGTTGGTGCATTTGTGTACTCGAAATTTCTTGTTACTTGACGTGTCCTACCGCGATAATCTTCGTATGTTCTGTGCGTGGAAGTCGTCTGGTGATCTAGGCGCTTCGGTTATTGAGAAATGGGCATGGGAACAGTTTCACAAGAGATTCTCCGTAGGTTCCATGCGTCTTGAAGATGCCGATGGTTCGTTTTTCACGGGCTTGCACACCAAATGGTCTGGTGGCACCGTTGTTTTGCAACCTCGCATGCCTGACCCTTGGGCCGCGCATTGCTATGATGAACTTGATAATTTTCCACTCAAACCGTGGAGTGCATGGGCGCCGCGTAAGCAGTTCCTTACCTGCATCACAGGGCTGCTATGCCGCGCGTGGTATTTCTGCAATTCTCGCCAGTCTCGAATCGATGCATTCTGGGAGGTGTTCGTGTCTCTTGTGCTTCGGGCTGGGTTCCCTTGGCCTGTAGTGCGGTCCCGAGCTGCTGCTTGGGCGGCGACGTGGATACCTAGAGGGCATGTCGCTCCTTGTGCAGATTTGATGAACGAAATTAGTGAAGCTATTTCTCGGTTCGTCGCGTCGCAGAAAAGAGTTGCACAGTCCCCGCACGTCATTCGCTGTATCTCGTTGTGGATGTGCCGCCCGGTGTATCGGGCGGTGAACATGGGAGGTGGAGTTGAGGGCGAGTCCCCAGCTCCGCACAAACATACTTGTTTGCAGCTGCTGTGTTTGTGATTTAATCGTTCCCGGGCTCCTCGATGAGGCTTGAGTATAGGCTTTATCGCACAGTACAAGCTGAGAGGGCGGTGCGAGGGGAACATGAACAATACTGAGGTCCAGATGCTCATGAACCATGAAAATGCTCATGCAAGTGATCTGCATGACATGGAACCGAACATGGTTGATGACATTCGTTTCGGGTCTCGTCAAGGCAGCATCGCCAAAGGGCTTTGCAAATGTCTTGTCGTGTTAAGTCGTTCTGACTCGGAGCATCACCTTCCGCTTGCCCCGTCTGCCCTGCTCTACCCCAAGACCGAGGCTCTGAGGCTCGTTCATTGTGAACAGTTGTCGCGGACGGTCGCACATAAACTCCATGTCAGGCATAGACTACAAGTCTTTCACGACCGACATTTACCCGCCTTCTTAATCAATTACAATCGTTTACCCGACCCAAGCCCGAGCTTGGAGGATTCGAGTGATCAACACGATCAAAACCCTGGTGATGCATGGCACTTCGGACGCACAACCATGCAGCTGCCGATTCAAAACCATCTTTTGGTTCTCCTGTGCTTTCCCCAAATCCGGCTGCAGGACAATCCGAATGCCCGCTGCTGTTTAACGGAGCGCATGCTACGGACCGCGTAACATCCCGGAACCCCTCGAAGAAGTTATACATTGCAACCACATGCGGTTGATAATGTAAGCTGTATGATGCCAGCCTTGAATGTTTTCAGCATAGACTGAGAAAACGTGCTGAAGGTAAGCGTTGTGCCGATTGAAATGTGCTTAGATTGCCTTTTGAATCACGTTCAGGTCGACAAGGTCGCTGTATGTCGACCCCACATTGCGAAGAGTCACTGGAGAAGCTCATGTCGGGAAGCTTGCGGACAAGCTGTGTCAGGGCGAAGAAAACGCAACACGCAAGGATCCCTCCGCGTTTGCTCAGGGCACGGATCTCTGGCATCTCTGTCAGTTGCAGGATGTTGCAGGCGCACCGCTCCAGAAAGGCCATCACCCGCTCAAGCTCCGCATCGCAGCTCCCTGCGGCCAGTCGCAGAGCCCCACCAAGAAAGCCTTCATCCGAGCACCAGCTGGGCCAGGGCCTCGCATCCGCTGTTCGGTGCAATCCTGTCATATCTTGGGGCAAAGCGCAGTCAGTGTCAGGACCTCTGCACAGCTGAGGGCACGACGAGAACATGTGCAACGGCAGCCTGCAGCCAGATGCCGATGCCCCAAACTGGATGCAATTATATAGCCGTACATCACGAGTGGCTGACTAAATTAGCATGCCGTCCACAACTATGCAACATTATGCAACTTATGGGCAAACCCCTCAGGAGGAGCAGCACCCGTCTACATGCGGAGATTGCAACTGCCACACTGCATGATTTCGAGGCACTGAAACATCGCCATAGGGAAGGCGAAGCTGCCCAAGCCTTGGCCGTGCTCAGATGGCTGCGAATCCCGCAGGCACCAAGCGCCGCATGAAGCTCCTCATGCTCTACACAACGCATCTACTCGAAGAGGCAGTGTCATACATGTTTCTTCCCGAGTCCGGCAAGTCCTCGCGAAGTTCCGCGGCCTCCTCTCCCGTCTTGGCCTCACAGTCTGGTTCGACACAAACACGAGGACATGCCGTATCCGACTTTCACGCGCTTTGCTACTTGCGATTTGCTCTATTTCACATGTACTGGACAAGAATCAGTTCAGGGATCCACATGAAACTACCAGTACTGTAAAGATCCATCGCGGGACAGAGCTGCCGCAATACATCAGGTAAACCGCGTTCCAAAGCGATACAGGCCCTGACCCAGAAGGTCTGTCGCTAGAACTGAACACAGAAACATGCAGAAGGACTTGTGGCAGTCACCTCGAAAAGGGAATTGAGATGGAAGGTGATCTTGCTGATGTGATCCCACATACACTCCTTGCTTGCTGCAGAGCTGAGGAGCATTCATTTGGAACTGCTGGCCCACGGAATCGTGCAACTGTTTGGATGTGTTCGGCATATTAGTCTGCCAGAAGCTCTTTGCAGAATTAAGCTGGCAAGCGTTCAGGCGGTTGCTACGCTCCGACCTTTTCTGTTGTCTGTGAGCAAACTGCTCTACCCAGAACCGACATGAATCACACCACTAGCCGCGGTCCCTGGACAAATGTCGCGGATCTTGGACCCGTTGTCGAACTCCCAGCCTGAGCTTCAAAACTGGACGGGCATCAGATTCAGGTGCAGCCGACCAGAAAAGCACAACTCTGCCAGCACAGCAAAGACTCTGTACACACGGATACCCAAAGCAATCTGGCTCGCGAAACCTGCAGCCAAGACGGAACACACCCACATTCTAGGAGACCAGAGATCGCAGATGTTCCAAACCAAGCGCCTGTTTCGAAGCCAAAGTATGTCCAGCCCTCGTTCCGCACAAGCCAGACCGTGGCAAAGATCTGCCAACGTATCGAAATAGAGGTGCAGACGTGAAGCCTTCGGAGCCGTCTCCAACAGTGCGCATCAAGCACAGCACTGTTTTGCAGAAGTACAAAGTAAGGCCGTCGCCCACAGGTCGTGTGCAGCTGTGTCCTAATCAAAGCTGTGAGCTGCTGGCAGGTCGCGTGAGGATTGCCTACGTCTTTCTTGAAGTAAGCTCTCCTGGAGCTCGTAAGCTCTTTGTGACAGCAGAACCTCCTCGACAACTTGTTCCCGCTTCTTGATGCCTGAGACCACCGTTCCGGCTTAGTGCTCCGCTTCCCTAGCTTCCGCAAGCATGCACACCAGAAGCCCGAAGCCCGGAGCCCGAAGCTACTTCCGCAACATCCTCAGGCTTAGATTGTCCCGGCCTGGGTCAAAATGAAGAGCATTGGGGATGAGCGACTCTGGGCCAGACTGCCATCCCCGACATGGGTGCCGAGATGCAACCTGGCCATGAAGATGTGGATATCCGATGTTCCACGTGATTCCACATCTAACGCGCAAGCGGGCATGGGTGGCAGCCTCTCCAAAAGCATTCCTCGCCCAGGTTGTGCCTACAAATACGCACTTTTTCCACGGGACATTGATCTGACAACCATGCCTGGGGCGAGGAAGTCCTTCAGACACTCCGTATCCCATCCTATCCTACCACGGGGATCTGGTGTGCAAGCCGGTCTCCTTGAGCTGCAAGTGGGCTGCTTGACTGATGGCAAGCAAGCCAGAAAGCTCACGCACCTGACAACACCGTTGCCTTTGTCTTGTCGAGTGTGTGACCAATCTGAAGACCCTGCCCCGTGCCAAGTTGTGTCTTTCAAGATCTGCGGCTCCTCGGCAACGAGGTGCCCACCTGCAAGTCGCTTGGCCAAGCGGCTAGCGGCTAGCATCGGCTAGTAGCCATTCCCAGGGCAACGCTCAGGTTTACAGCCCGGATCTATCCGGATCTGCTCTGGCTCGCGGTATGTGAGTCGTTCTCTGGCGAATTCCAGGATCCCAGCCGTGGAGACATAAGTTTGGCCTCGAGTACATGGGAAGCCGGGAAGGCCAAGATTCAGATGGCTCTGAGCATCAAGATTCAAGAGGTTGCAGTCCCCCGCCTCATGAGCAAGTTTGCAAGCTCGTCTGGCTCCTCTTTGCGAAGCGAATCCAAGACAGTCCTCCAATCGTTTCACATAGTCTTTGGATCACTGCTGCCCACGCAGAATTGCCAGTTCAGAGAAAGGTCGCCTGTAGACCCTCGAAGACTTCAAAGCCACCTGGAGGCGTCGGGCAGACTCGTTATCATTAAAGTATACGCCTAAGCACCTGCATGCACACATGCATGCGTCAATCCACATAAATCTATGTGTATATGTACACATACATATACACATGTTCATTTACGTGTACATGTATGTAAATATCTATATCTATCTATATATATATATATATACATATATATATACATATATGTACAGACACACAATGCAAAACCATACCAAACGATACGATACAATACATACGAGCAAGTGCGAATGATCAGGACCAGGTATGCTGACCAAGGTCGTGCATTCGATACTCTTCTGGCCTGGATGACAGCATCCACTCTTCTCGGGAGGATGACTGTTTTGGGGATGGCCATGCGAAGGCTGTTGACCAGCCTTTCCTTGGATGGCCTGCATGAGACCCGCTCTGACACCCTCGCCAGCGCTATCATGATGTCTGTGGGACCAGCACATTCCAGCCTGATTTCCACCTTTAGTGTGCCTTAGATGTCAGGAGATAGAGAGTTCATGAACGTTGTTAAACTCACTTTCCGGAACACTGGATCTTTTGTGTTGGCTGCAGCCAGACCACTGATTTGGGCACTGACAGCTCGAAGAACGTGCAGTAGGCTTACTGATTCGGGCCTCTGCGCCTGCCATTTGGTTTACTATGCTGCAGACAATTCGGGTCGAGGCTGGCAGCTTGTTGAATTTATTGCGCCTCTTCAGTGAAGAGAGCTCTCTCCAGATGTCGCACAACAGCACATGGTGACCTGAGCTTCGATGCCACGGGCTTGGACCAGTTGTGCCCGAGATTCCAACAAGCGAGGCACGACGATGATGGAATTCCGATGTCGCACAGCAGCTCTCGCTGTCCATCCTGCAGCATCGCAATCACCGCCTTTGACGGCCACTGGTGTTGGCGACAATTGCCTGCCTTGAACGAGTTGATTTTGAGCACCCGGATTCGGCCTGTCAGCGCGGCGATGCATCCGAAGTCTGCCAACTGATTGTGGTAAGTGCCACCTGCTGCCTGTTCTGATGAAAGCGTCTTCCAGTGTAAATGGGCCACGAATTCAATTGGCTCTCTCCAACGTGCCCAAATCTGAGACTGCTGCCGGTCTGGACCCCACATGCGGAAAGCAGGCGCTGTAAAGCAGTTGCCACCTGCAGCATAGCTCCACTTGCACCGCTCTGGCTGTGCGACTTAATTATCCCATATTATCCCATAGAGACTCCCAGAACATCGGAAACCCGTGCTGAGGTCATCACACGCAAACCAAGTGAAGAAGAAGTGGACTTGGGCATGGCCTGCTGTGAGGAAGATCCAGGTGTAGAAGCGAATCAACCATGACAAAATTGAACCGTCCGTAGTACTACCATGTACCACCAACAAGGCCTGATGAGTCTGCCGCTCATGCAGTTGCTTGCCATGCTGTCTTTTGGCTGCCCAGGCTGTAAGAATAAAGTGCACTAGGTGAACGGTGGCTCAGTTGAGTGGTGGGCCAAGCAGCAACAACGTCGGGGCATGCCGGGGCATTTACGTGCTGGATGCTTGGCAGTTGCAGGTGAACTGGTTCCTAGTCCGCTGCCTGCAAGTTGGCCAGAATGACCTGCACATGCAAAACGTCGTCTCGGATTGCAAAAACGAGAGGCTGCCTCGTCGACCAGAGTTGTCTGGGGTGCAAGACGCCCACCTCAAGGAACTGATAGGTCGACTTCCTGCACTCTGCAGATCTCTGCTCCACCTGCGAGAGCTGCCCGTGCTCGCGCCAGTCGTGCTCGCAGAGTTATGCGCGTTGCCGGCAGCTCCTCGTCGCAGATATTGTGTATGTGCAGGCTGATTTGTCTAACTTGCGGTGAGCACTTTGAGTCACATGGCAGAACGTAAAGAGCGGGCCTGCATGGTAGCACCATTCGCTCGCAGCATGTCTCGGCTGTGGATCATCGCCTGAAGCCGGCGGCAAAGAACCGAGGCCTACTTGTGTGACATGATGCTCTTGGAATCTTGGAAGGTGATCAGAACGGGGACCAACCCCTGAATGGCCGCAAGCCTGAATGCTTTGTGCCCACAGCACCTCCTTAAGCTGCCAGCCCTGCTGGAAACTGCCACGCACTTTCTTTCTTCCATCGGGGCTTTCGCATCCAGCCCACAGCGCACAACGCATTCTTGCGTCCTCCTGGCCGACGAGTCACATAGCATCATCAGCTTCGCATTTCCCAACCAGTTTGCTGATCCCAGCAAGATGGAGCGTGCCGACAACTGCCAAGACAACTTTCCTGTGCTGGTAGCGAAGTTGAATGGAACAAGGACGCTGAGCGCACCACTCCAAGCAAAAGGAAATTCGGCCGCACAATGCAACAAAGCCGCACAAGGTTGGCCAGTTTGCCTACTCTTCTGTTGTGATTGCCTGTACTCGTTACGTACTTGTGCCCTTAGTTTCAATTATATATTAGCAAGAAGCGTCAAACAGCAGTTGAACATCTGCTATTTTGGGCACGTGTCTGTCGTCCACCATACTTGTTGCAAGTGTCGGCGATACATCGAGCAATGTGGACATCCCTGTCTGTGAGAATCGCGCGCAGCTGCACGCGCCAAACAGCCAGGATCGCCAACGCGAGACTGGGCAAGACCACCCAATTCAGCCAGCCAGGTTGATCGGAGCGAGGCACAGGATCTGCAAAGTCTATCTCCAGCGGTCTTGCACGCGCAAACAACGTGAATGCGGGAATCAACAGCCCCATCAGCAAGAGTCCTGCAGTGATTGATTTTGGGACCTCCATGCCAAGGACCAGCAAGTTACGGATGACAGCAATGGGTGTCATCGCAAGAAGTAGCAGTGGTGCCACAAAGCTGCCAAGCGTAACTTCGCTTGATACGCCGAGTTGACTTTCCTGCTTTGGACTTGACAACAGTGTTGTGCAACAGTTCACGACATCATACCAGATTTTCGTCCATCCGCTGATGCTGCCAGCATCTGCCAGCGTTGCAGTGGCAACGTCTTGTAGTACTGCGTCCAACTCTTCGTCAGACAAATCGCCAAAGACGACGGGAACAGCACCCTGTCCGGCAGCCCTTGGTCTTGGAAACGAAACTCCAATGTATTTAACTCTGTACTTAGTTAGCTACAGAACTCAACAAGGCAACACATTGAATCCTGTTTAATCTGCGGGAAACCAACTTGAGCAGCTCAAGGCACTCTGCCACGCCCTGCATTTCGTTGTCTAGTAAGCTCCTCATGAAAGAGCCACCAGGGTGCAGCCTCTGCCTGAGCGAAGTGGAGCAGTTCCACAACAAAAATCCGCCGAGGCCCAGGCGTCTTGGGGGTTACGTAAGGTTCCCTCCACCTAATCCTCCTCCCTGCAGTCCGAGAGTTTGGAGACACCCTGTTTTGCTTGGTTTGCCACTTTTTTGCCCGGCTTCCCTTCATTTTACGGAGGCCACCTCCCCGCCTCCCCCGGCCCCCTCCCCCCTCCCCGCCCCCCCCTCCCACCCTCCCCCCCCCTCTCCCCTCCCCCCTCCCCAAAGGAGAAGAGCAGGTTGGGGTTGAGAGGTCCCCTAGCATGGTATATACTACAATCACTGCCCCCTCGCCCTGCCGCTGCAGAGCCGAGGCGGGCGGCGTAGCGTTAAAATTAAACTTATCTAAATCTGGTGGCGCTCGATTGCACGTCTTCAACCTCGCGCTGCACACTTCACGAGCGGTTCGAGTCTTCTTGCCGTTCTTACCGAACAGAACAAGATCCAAAAGGCCCGAAGTATACCGCGAGCATGACGTCTGAGGCATGTGCATGCGCTGCCATCTCTCGTCGAACATCTCTAAGACAACGGCAGCAAGAGCATTTGACTCCATCATCTCTGTCGTCAGGCTCTTGGCACAAAACGTGGAGAAGGGGTTAAAGTGCATACACCCAACCAAACACACGATGGTTCCAGAGTCGTCATGTCGGACTACTCGTGCTTGAGTCAGAGCCAACGAATCAAGCTTGGGCAACGCCCGTCTTGTGCAGGACGGAACATGCCGCGAAAGTCTTCTGCCAACTTGATGCTGAGGGCCAGCAAAGCACAGAATACCCGCGAAGTACACAGGCCAAACGCAGAGTCGAACGCTTCTCTGCCGCATACCGCGCATCGCAGTTCAATCTCCGTGCTTGAGCCGTAAAACGTGTTGTCGCGTTGGTGATGGCTTTGTTGTGATGTTAATTGTTGCGTGGTACTGTACCAGTAGCAAGGGTAAGGCGAGGACACATGTCACAATCACAGCTTGCAGGGCCTGGACATCGGGCCGCGGTGGTTGTCGAAATTTCTGCAACTCCTGCAGAAAGGAAGGCATCGCATCGCTGCATGGCAGGACAGCGCGAGCGAAACTTCGCCTCGAACTCCTCGAAGGAAATTGTTCCCTGAGGCGCGGGATCTTTTGCAAAAAGAGGCTTTTGCATTTGGCATATGTGCTGGGACGTCTACCCCCATCAGGAATGAGCGAAGTGCGCCGACGTGTCTCGCTTCATCGGCAGAGGGCAACCCCAAGGAACAATATGGTCGAAATCTCTTTCAAAAGTGAAACCCATGCGCTGATACACCGCTTCGTGAGGGATCCGGCAGATGAAAGACGCCGAGAGTAGGGTAACTGCCACAGAGCCCGGAAAAGAGCTCTAAGCTAAAAGCCACACCGATTCCCGCGTGTTCTTGGGCCCCACCGTCGGACCGTAGGATGTGCGGAAGCCGCAGCGGTTTCGGTTTGGGCATGGTGTTGACGGCTGGCGGTGTTGTTTTGCGTTGCCTATGTCTGCTTCGTGGACAGGAGTTCGAGGATGCGCTGGGGCCGGCGGGTGCCCGGGCACATCACCTGCCGGACATGCGCTTGTAGCAGGTCACTTACTGATTGCCTTGTGCTGTGCACAAACGCACGGTCGATCTTGGGTACAATATGGTACAATTGTGTTGCAGGTGGGAAATTAGATCTGGTGTTGTCTTCTGCCAGCCTCGTCATCCCGATCCAGGAAACGGAAGATGGGTAGTGTTGGCCCGAAGTAGGAAAAGGATCTTGCCACTGTCACCCACTCAGCTTCCTCAGTGCCATGCTGCTACTACGATTTCTTGGAAAATGAAGTCCGTTGAAGTCTTGAAGGATGAGACGAGGTTGCGGCAGAGATGAAGTTGTCCCCGTTCACGTCGAAGACTGCCCATGCAGCCTAGCAAAGCTGAGCATATGCTTGCACATGCACACCTGACAAAATTGGTGCCGGCTGGCTCGCCAAGTAACGTTAAGATCGTTGCCAAACGATCGGCTGCAGAAGTGGACGAACTCCTGCCCAAGGATCTAGCGAAAGTGCACCCGCGACCACGGCAAAGTTTGCGAACAAGTGGAGCAGAGCAAACACAGCAAAGGCCTGTATCGAGTACACCATCTCCTTGTGACAAAGCTCGAGTATACCTTCGGACGAAGATCAGTAAACCGCAGCGGCCACATTCAGAATGAAGGACTGCGACTTCCCAGCAAACGGTAACGTCGTCCAAGGCACCCCATTCACTGCGAGTGACTTGACCCTCACCGCTCGGATCCAAGTAGCCTCTGCAATGTGCAAACACGTGCAATGGCTCCCTGCGCCTTCTAAACTGGCGCATGCACCCAGGCTGAAATTGTCACGGCCAGACTTTCTTTCTGCAGGCAAGGGGCGGAAAATGCCTGACACACAAGCACGGCAACCTGACACCTTCAGCCTCAACCAGTTCCCTACGGCAAGACAATGACTAGCAGACTAGCATCACGCGGTCTAGAGCTGAAGTGTAACCCTTGGTGTGCATAGCCTCCGAAGCCCCGAATCTCTTTATGAGGGCGTCGATTTCGATTCCTCTACAAAAGCACATCGACATGCCTAAAGTCACAGGTGGAGGACTTTGTCAGGCCCGCGCCGACCTGACCTACTCAGGCGTCTCCAAGCGTACACTTCGGATTGCTGACGACCGCCATAGCTATGACATAATCATGCACAGTGTGACATGACCTTCCTCGACTGTGCAGCTTCCATTGGCAAACTCAGCGCGGGCCATGTCACGTGGCAGAAGTGCCTGTGATCTTGTCGCCTTCACGCCGCCCTTTGAACTTCTTGCACTTCACTCGCCTGGCTCTTATGTCGTTGCAATCTTCGCATAGCACCCCGGGACATTTTCTAGCAATGTACACACAGTATGAGCAGCCTGAAACGTAATACAAACCTAAGAGCACCAACAAACAAGCCAGGGTGGAGGCTTGCCTGAGGCCATCCTCAAAATCTCGGTGGTTCAGGACCTGTGCGTTCCTCAGAGACTTCTGGAGCGTTGACACGATGCGCAACTGCCGAAGCTTAGGGTGCAACTTGCTCTTGATGTCATCGAAAGCCTATCACACAGCATCACATACTTGCTCGCTCTGCAGGGCCCTATGTCCAAGATCCAGAAGGTCTGGGGGCAGGTAAGGAAGAATCCGCGATGAGAAATCAGTTCCGCAAGATTGCTTTCCATGCTTTATCGATGCTGACCGAATTCGCATGTCCGGGCCGGCGCGAAGGGCAGGAATTCGATGGGAGTCGTGGCGGCCCCCGCTCAGATTCGTCGTTTCCTCCTGTTATCGTCTGGCGTCCAAACCTGTAGGTTGCACCGACATCGGATGCCACGTTCATCCCTAGCGTCTGTGCAAGGGAGACGCACTTCCATTCCAAAATGACCTCCTCCACAGAATGAGAAAGCCGCTTGTCGCACAACTTAGCAGATACCACCATATGCCACCCCTGTGTCGTCTTCCAAGGTTCTGTGCTTTGTGGTCTGAATTAAGATTGTGCCTCGAGTTTGGCGGACTATCAGACAATGGCTTGTTGCCTTGACATGGCTTCTCGAACTTTAAAAGGAGGCAGCACTTAAGGACTGCTGATGTAAACCAACCGGATTTATTGCTGCTCCATCTGCTCCGTGGAGTGTCGGCCAGCATGCACGAAGACTCGATGCCACCATCGATTGAAATGAAGGTCAGGCTACTCAGATGCAAAGTCTGCGAGGATTTGCTTTTCTCTGGTCCGCGAGCTCAGGCTTCCAGGTCCCCGATGGGTTCCCCGTTCGGTCGGTTGAGGTTCCGGGTTTCGGGTAGGTTCCGGGTTGGCGTTCCGATTCACGTCATGCGAGCCACGGGTCTTGTTTGGTGACTGGCAGCTCCTAGTCTCATTCCCCGAGTAAAACTTGTCTCCCCATGCTGTGTCGTAAACTGAGGGGCATGCTGTAGTCTGAACATAGCTGAATGGCCACGAGCGAAAGACAGACTTAGCTGCACCTGTACACTATTCCCCCTTACTATGCGATAGTAACAGTCATGCTTCATGCTGATTCATGCTTGCTCGATTCAAAAAATCTGGTTCCCTGGCCCGCTTCAAGGTCATCAAAGTCGCAGAGCCATGCTACGAGAGAGACAGAAGCAATTCTCCCGGCGCCATGCTACCCTCCAAAGGTTAAACCAAAGGCAGAAAGCTCTCGGAATTCAATTAATCCCGGGGACCCAGGCAGTGGCAAGCCAGAGGCCCAGACTACAAGTTTTCCAGTGATGGCTGGAACGTGCAGCCTTTGATAGTGCCCGGGTTTCTGCAACATGCAACCGTTCATCGGGATGTTTGTTTGTTCATAAATGTGCGAAGCAGGGCCGAGACTTGCGCCGGCTGCCTTTCATCATGGGAGCTAATACAGTAGCTCGCCAGGCAGCACTATACTGCTCATACTTTACAGCCGCGTAGGCCAGCCGTTTCAACTGCGGCCTTTATCTCGTTTTTGAAGGAAGTGCTGCGAGCATCTCAACTAGCATAGCATGTCGGCTGCAATCAACAAACAGTCGGGCAAAAACGGCCGCTCGTGCTTTTTTGTATCTCAGAAAACAGGATTGCCAGCCCGTGCCAACTCTCTATTCCGTCATGACGCCAGAGTAACATTCCAGCCCAACCTCATAGACGTTGTCATACCGTTCGATGATAAACCTGGCATCCACCGCAGGGGTCCACTTAAGATAAGGCCCCTATCGCTAATTCAGCGAAGTTGCTCGAGAAACTCCATCACATCCACTGGCACTTCGTTCGTGGAAGCCCACCACAGCACCTAACGGCGAATTCTCTTGCGGCTTATCCTACGAAATGTGTGCAACTTCAGATTTACCCACGACCAAAGAGCGCGATGAGCCTGCTCCATGCTCACGTCGCAAGGCCAGTTGCTGTATGTTTGGAGGAAGCTCTTTCGGACCTGCAGAGAAGCTTCATGGATTGAAGGAAGGCGGTAAGCTAAGGTTCCGTGCCTTGAAGTTCCGATCCTCCGGCGCACACTTGTAGCTCATGGACACAGTGCCATGCTCCGGGATCTGCGAGATAGTCTCCCAGCCTTGGCAACATCTTGCGATGCTCTCTTCTCAGTACACGTCATTAAGCCAAGCCTACCAGTGCACTGGGCTCACTGCTGCGTGGCAGGCCCATTACCAGCCTGGTCTGAGCAAGTTCTTCGGCCATGATCACGTTGTCAATGGCGTACGGCTCTTAGACTATCAGCAGCAGCTTTGAGCACCAAGCGGATCCACCGATCCATCACCTCTCACCCATCTTGGCTTTTGGATGTTGGTCAAGCGCTCCTGCACAGGTGCACATGGACGGAAGCTGAAATGGGACCGGTCCGAGCATGCCATGCGACTCAATGCTCCAAGCAGGGGCCTTCTTCGCAAGGTTGATGAGAGCACATAGCGCTGTACGCTCATCGAACTTGTCCAGCTGGAAGACAAACCGCGCCTGGCGTGGGGGGGACTCTGCATGACAGGCTGCGCAAACAGGTGGATCCAGGCAAATCGGCAAATGCGGCCTGTTCCGGCTGAACCCACGGAAAAAAGACGAGTGAACCAAGTCGGGTACGAAGCCGGTTGACCTGACCAGGTGGGCTTGTAGAGGCTCATAGAAACTCTCGCAGATTTGTCTTCACAAAAAGCTTTGAGGTGTTGCTGAACGAATTCTAGTTAGTTGGAGTCTAACTGATTGTCCTGGAATCAAACGCACACATATTGTTTCACTTTTGCAACATCGTTTAAGCAAAGAAATCATACTAACTACAGTCTCATACAATGCATGATGATGTGTTGGTGATGGTGATGATGATGAAGGCATGCTGCGACTGTCGTGGACGTCGGGCCGAAAAAGTTTGCCTGCTCGTCATCACCTTCGAAGCGAACTGAGAAGACCTTCTCGTTGTGCATGTCAGCAATGCCTGAACGCATGCACCGTGACATTCTTGGGTTTTTCGCGGAGGGGCAGCTTTCACTGATTGCAACTAGTAGCGATTGAAGAACGTGATCAAGCAGTCCTCTCTGTCACAGGGATCCTGAGCACCATCAAGAACCGGTTACTTTTTTTCGAGCGATGCAGAACCATGTCAAAGGAAGTTTCGGGAGGAGGGTGTTAACTGAATCGTGACAGCGATTAACCCATGGAAACCAACCCCAAGCAGCCTAGCCCTGCATCATGAATCACGTCAAGTTAAATTTACGTCCGGAGATACGAGCGAAGTACGAATGCAGTGAAGTGTCAGTGTCTGTGTGCTGTGCGGAAATTTGCGAACAATGGAGTTTTTCGGCCTGTCGGCGTCTGTCGGCAAACTCTTGTTTTTCTCGGCTCTTACAGAATCCATCCGGGATCGTGGCGGACGGGCCCCAGTGATGCTGGTCACGTCCGTCCCAAGCAATCTTCAGCCGATGGTCCTGGATGCCGAGCTTTCAGCTGCTCGTGTAGGAACTGCAAGCTTTCTGTTGTCTTGTTGACTTTATTCGGACGCTCTCGTTTGGTCAACGATTCAGCGGGCGCAGCGTGCGTTCGTTATGACCAAATTTTGGCAGGCCTGATACCGACTATACTGCCGCTGTCCCTATGGTGGCGCCTGCTTACAGCCTGTTAAACAACAACAAATACCAATTTGTCATGATGTTTTTTTCGTCATCATAACGCTCGGTAAACGCTACCGGTGCCTCGTGCTCACTCACCAAGAGGGCCAGATTTTGGGCTTCGTAACCTTCTGAACCCCCGCCTCGGACTCCTTGTTGTTGATTGCCACCCGATCGCAAGACATAAGTATTTAGTATTCATGATGCAGGTTTCAAGAAAGGCCGTCATCAACAAAAACAGGGCATGTCGCCTGGTGGCGAGGATGATGGAATGTCTGAGCTTGGTTACCTCAATTAGCGGGATGCAAGCTATGTTTGCTTTCGTAGGCACCCTACAACATGTCCAGTATTTAGGCTTTGTGCAACTCCCCGATTGAGCTGTTTATGCTTTCTGCCTCCTTTGATGAAGGCTTGTCTGGACGCGGCGCTGTCGCAGTTCAAGGCATAGAAGTCGCCGCATCGAAGTTCGAAAACCAGCTGTGCGAGATTCGCCGTGCAAGCTTCGCAAGGGAACTGAAAGCCACATCGGAAGCAAAACTGTCATACCAGCACTGAGGGTAGTCTCTTCTGACAGTACGTGCAGGTCACGGTCAAAAGCTAATGAAGACGGTGTTCGGCTATTCGTCATCGACGAGTATTGCTGGCCAGTGTTGGCTGAGGTCTCGAGCAAGTTCCGTAAATTGCCTTCAGGGGTGCTCGTCCCATCTTGCCCAAGAAAGTGCACTCGCCGGCTTTGGCAACAACTGTTTTCCAGGCGCTGCTGGTTTCGGAATTGGTTTGGACCCTCTTCAGGGAGGGCCGGGTAAAGAATCAAAATGAAGAAGTTGTTGTGGGAGGAGATGAACACACCCTGAGTTCATGTCGTACCTTCGGGGGTTGTCGCTTGCTGGGATTTGTTGACACACTTCTTCGAACAAGGAGGTCATAGGAGGTCCCGATGGTCAGTCGACGCTGCGTTCGAGCTCCGTGGAACAATAATCGACAGCGTAGGGACTGTCGACATGTTCCACGGCGGTCATGTCGCTGTGCAGCTAGTGGTTTGTGAAGTTTTCATGCAAGATTTCCACGCTCAGGGACACAGCATGATTCGGCGAGGGGCAGAAAGATGGGTGGAAAGGCTGATCGTGCATGATGCACGATATCGCACTCTTCACCTCGTCGGAAACACCCAGTCAGTGGCAGAGGATCGAGCTCCCGGGCACGCAGTATAGCTGTAGCCACAGCTCTCAGCCGGAATCTGTCGGCTTTTGTGTAGTCAAGCTCTGGAGTCACTCACGACATGCATGGGGAAGCAGCGAAACACCCTTAAGATGAAGGGGCAATGTCTGAAGGTTGTCACGGCATCATTCAAGGCCACTGCAAGTCTGTCAATGCAGGGTCTCGGGGTTACCGTTGCTTAGTCGCCTATAATTAGCTGGGCCATCGTGGTGATTGTTCGTGAGGCTAAGAGCGGTCACCCGAAGAAATGCGAGGACAGTGCCAAAGGCTCATCCACTCATCGAAGAATCAGGTATCGGGGCTACAACCGAGGGCTGACTCGCTGCGCGAGATCCAAAACACCACGCATAAACAATTTGTGGGCGTTTTTAGTTTAGAGGTGGACCCTAAGACACATCAGTGGGTCCAGAAGTATGCTGCACGCGAGGCCGCCGAAGCCGTTCTACGATTGGGCAACAGCCGCTGTGAGCTCGGATCAGAATCGTGCTCGGGAGCCATCCTCGTCTCCGGACAGCACTTCCCATAACCGAGCGTCGCAGCGTCGTCGACTTTCTCTCCAGCATGCTGACCACCGCGGCTCGGATTCCGCTTCCGCTTCAAAGACATGGGACTCCGTGGGACGGAGGAGTTGGGCCTTCGAGCATGAACGAGAGGCCAAGAAACGTACTGGCCAACACAAAACAGATGACCATGTGTTGCAGGTCGTGCGCAGCATTAGTCGTTACCGTTGGGCCGTCCTAGAACCGCACTCTCGCCGTCATTAACAGATAGGACCGGACAGTCATCGCGTCTTAGCAGCCTTAGCAAAAGTCGATCAGCATCGCAGACGTACGATGGGACCTGATCATATGTTGGATGTGGGCAGGGAGCGAGCGATAGCCTCGCCCGACTGTTGCAGGTCATCTCGCTGAAGACCTTCTGGATCTTCCCTTCGTCGATGCCGATGAACCCCTTGTCTGTGTTTCAAGCGCAGAACCACTCTGAGTCGTGTGCAAAGCAAGGCCTTGAACCGAAGCCTGTTTCATAACGTTTGCTTAATCGGTGTACTCCCACTGAGAGTGGTCTTGATGTCATTTCGCATTTTGAACGAGAGTCTTCCTAATGTTCTCTGTCAGTGGTCACTGCCCTCAAAGCAGCATGGCCTTCGCGCAGGCACTAAACTTACGATAACTTACGGTGCGGGGGATCAGGTCAAGGTGGCGATCACGGAGGTCACGGATGTCAAGGACCGTGTTGCGGCGACGGATGAAGTGTTGGTCGATAGCGTTGGCGATTCTGAAGAGCAAATCGAGCTGCCGTCAATGCGAAAAGGTCGTAAGGGCACCCCCGAAGAAAGTGCAATCGATCAATCACATCGACTTCTCGTGAATGGCGCTATCACATCTGTGGAAGCGCAGAGTCGGCGTCACTCGGGACAAGGAACTCTTAAGTGACCGGACTGATCGGCGGGATGGCAGCCAGTGGCAGCAGACCCAAAAAAACGAGATCCTGCAGTGTTGTGTGCATTTGGAGGAGGAAGGTCATCACCACCCACGCTCTGTTGCAGCGTGTCTTCATCGCGGCTTCGCCCCTCCGAAGACTCCAAGTTAGTGCCAGCGCGTCACCGCGATCGGGTGCACCGCGTTGTCAGTATCGTTCGATTCGAAGCGACAGAACGGTCACGCAAGTCCAAGCTTCAAGGGGAAGCACGAAAGTCTCGAGTCGAACGTGCCGGAAGGGGACGGGAAGAAAAGAACCGCATTCACAGTTTCCAGGTGGCACTACAACTTCCATCCTTCGATCCCGATCACTCTGCCATTGCCAACCACCCCCACCAACGCCTCGCCAAGTACCGCGCGGCTCAGTGCGACCCCCAACGACAATGGCTTGGCCTTGGAGGCTTGGTCGGATCTTTTGGGACATCGTGACATGAGACACGAATTGACACTGGTTCGCGCAACAGGCATCTCCGTCTCACGTGGAGAACCAGAGCCTGGCGGCTCACCCTCTGCAGTACTTGCAGTAGGCATCTGAGAAGCACGTTGCGGCAAATCGGACCTCGGCAAAGGTATGCAAAGGTCACGCCCATATCGAGAAATGCGGCAGGAAGACGCACGGGGAATGTCGTGCCCCGAAACGGTCGATGACGGGTTGGCCGGGTGCAAGCACGAGTGCTCGTATTCGAGTGTTGTGATTTGACGTGACTTGACACTTGACTTGGAACTGACACCGTTGTGGCCGAGGGCAGCAGGCTAGCGGCTAGCCGGGCCGGCATCTTCGGGCACAGCTTGAATGATCTCATCCTAAGACTATCAGATTGTACAACATCGTCTCGGCAGGACAACGCCTTGGCAGGACGACTCTCCTGCCTGCGATTGACACCACCTTCGTCTAGACCCTAGGCGGATAGGTGTCGCAGCCGACCTCGATCCGAAATTCGAGCATTGGGTGCAACCAGAAGGCCAGGGAATTGGAGATGTTCCTCGAGGTGAAGCCGCCGGTTCCAAATGGCATTGGAGCACGGTGTCTGTCATCGTCCGGGGGGGCGGTGTCGTCACAAGACACATTCATTGAGTCGAAGAACCAAGTAAGCCTCATTAAGCCTGCAGGTCTTGCAGGTGCCGGACTGAAACGACTTGATGTGATTGCAGCGGTGTTCGGCCATCGGCATCGAAAGAATGGCGTCGCCGAACCACAGTTCGCCTAGCATCTTCGATTTAGCCGTCTTGCATTTTGAACAGCGTCCACCGCGGTGACATCTACCTTGGAAGTGCATGTGGCGAATTCTCGAAGACACGACTGAGGCGCTATCGATGAACTCCAAATTCGAAAACCCAATAATCTGTCCAAATAGTTCCTTGTATCGACAACCGAGAGAAAGGAAGTTGGTCGTGACCTGCAAGGCTTCATGGTCCACAGCCTTGGGGTAATGGACGATTGACCATGCAAGTATTGTCTGGCAAGCGATGTGCGAAGCAATAGCGAAAAGAAGCACACACGAATAGCCCTGCACACCGCCATCCTGATGGAAGACGTCCCTGCTGGCGACGATTGTGATGACGACGACGACTGTGATGATAGTGATGTTGATGACGATGCTGCTGATGATTGTGAGGTGTTGTGCTGATGATGATGCTGGTCGGAAGAGGGATTGAACGAGGAAGATTACGACGACAACGACGACGAAAGTTCTGGGTGAATGAGAGGATGATGATGACGATGTGTGTGGCAAAGACGATGGTGATGACGGCAAGACGATGGCTCCCCCCCGAAGCCCTGCCGGGTTCGAACTTCCGGCCCCCCACCGGGCTGTTCACACACATTGTGGATTCACATGGTGTATTATTGCACTGGAGCTAGATGAGATCGGAAGAGGACATGGAGGAGAAAATGCCGGCGATGACAAGCTGTAGGTGCCCTGAACCCTCACCTAACGACATGCACAGAAGAAGCGGCTGATTTCCAGAGTTTCCGCACAAAGCAAGAACTGCCCTCCGAGCTCAGGTCCATAAAGCACTCCAACAGGGCCTTGCAACGGGATTCGTTTGGTCAGAGACACCCTCAGCAGTAACGTGGTCTCGAATATTCTCCGATGCTCATCTCCCTTGCAAGGCCCCGTGCTCGAGTTTGCAGCGCGGTGATGTAAATCTGGTGCGCCACCATTCGGAGTGCCTGAAGAGCAGCAGGTCGGCTTCAGAGTGATTCCAACAGAGCGAAAGTTTAAAGGCACCTGCATGTCGTCCCGCGGCAACTTTGCCTCGGCATGTCGCTGTCTCCGATCGCCCCGGGCCCCGGCATGCCCCGGCCCTGTGTCCCCTGTGTCGCCTGGTCGGGACCTGCACCGCTCGGGCTGCCCTTCTTCTGGAAGTTTTGATCCTCGCTTCGAGGACTGCGCTGCTGAATTGATCTCAAACTCCCCGTGCCTGCAGAGCAATGAGCATGATTCGAAAGGATTTGTCATCCAGAACTTGTGCTCCTGAACTGAACGAGACCGGCTTGTGCTGCCCAGCCGTCATTTGCCGTCCTTCTGGTGGTCTTGCTGAGCTGGAGTAATCCAGTTCAAGTTTGCCGGCCTCTCGAACTATATAAGCCCACGGGCTAGAATGGGGCTTCTTCATGGCAACCCGCCTCGGGCAGCAACCACTCTGTCAACGGTCCCTGCAAATGCAAGAAGACTTGCACGAACAACGGAGAGTCATGCATGCACATGCATGCACGCTGCATGTTAGACTCTCCTGCAGTGGGCTGCCGCGGAAGGTAATGTTCCGGACCTGTGGCACATGCCAAATTCCGGAAGATGTCCTCATCTTTCCGCTATGCCGCCTGCCTGCACAGCTACTCAAAACCGGTTTCCTCGCCTGGGACCAGTCGCCAAACTGGGAGGTGTCGACGTGGCGATGCCGAATCCTCAGAAGTCTGAAAGACATGGTGCACATTGCTTGTGCAAGACAATCCGAATCAGTCATGCCGTTCTGAGCTATTCTGGTCTGCCGTGCCTGATTGCAGACTCCCAAGAGTCCAGCAGCACCTCTTGAACCAAACTTTCGAGATTTTGGTGTTCCGCAGAAGTCAAAACTTGGGGCAACACAAGCGCTTCGGCTATGGAATGCTCGGCTGGATGCGACAGGTCCAGCCTCGAAAGCACGACACCGCTGAAATTTTGTCCTCTGTCTGCAGCTCTAACGAATCCCCCTAGCCCATGCCCTGAGGGTAGGCCCGAAAAACCAGGGCACTAGCATCAAAGTCTTGCATCACAATTCTCCTCATGCCCCGCGCGAGCCTGTAGTGTCCGGTTGGATTCCGAATGTTGAAGAACATCAGAGGGCGTGCGTGTTGAAGGATCTGCGTCACGTCGGGGATGGAGCGAGCAATCCTGCGACGTGTGCGCTGGTGCATGCACCTCCTGCACGCTTCGCAAGCTTACTGAGCAATACTGAGCATAGCTGAGCTTCATGCATAAGTGTCAAACATCTCTCGGAAGCCTCGGTACATGCTTCAATGTCGCTTCCGGTTCCTGGCTGGATACGAGCTCACATCCAAGTTCGGCGCACAAGCACGAAGGGCCGGGAAGAGCTTGGATACCTTGACTTGGACTCCCCGACAGCAGAAGTTACCTGTACTTGTATGTTGCGATTGCAATCCGCCGAGGCCGGAGGGCTATGTAATGGTATGGTACTAGCGTATATTACCGTGTATTACCCTCCACCCTTAGACCGCCCTGACCACAGATTGGGTTCTTGTTTTCGATGTTTGGATTCATGTTGGAGGGATCCGGTATGGATTCCTTTTTTCTCCTCCGCTGAGTGGCGGGTCGACCCTCCCCCTCCCCCTTGCAGACGCATTTCTTTCGAGTCCGCGTGTTTGGATAAGTTTGCAAATCTTGCAATGCTTGCAGCACATCCCTCTCGAGGCGGCTCGCGCGCGCTAGATGTGCTACCAGTAGGCGGCGCTGGCGGTGAAATTCTGTAGACTGTTGGCCGAGACCGAGCTCCTGACGACTTCAGCAGGAGATAAGCAGGATCTGCACATCCTAAGTTCGACAGGTTTAAAGCTCCCAAGTCTCAAGATCGCATGCGCTTTGACAACTCAGAGCTATTCCGTTCGACGACGGCAAACGGCCTTGGATCTTCGCTCGTCTTCTGTGCGCGACTTCAAGATGAAGACCACTGAAGCACCCTGACAAAAACCCTCCAAGAACCACGCAAAACAACATCGCGTGCGAGTGCATCGAGGAAGACGCCCTGTCGGCGCTCCACTCATCGTATCGGACACGGTATGACAGGATGGATGCAGTGAAGCCCATTGTCATCCTAAGATATGCCAAGCCTGATCTGGGTCAACATCTGAAACGGTCCTGCGAATGGCTAAATCACGGAGATTCAGCTGTGCTGTGAGCTGACACCCAAACTCTGGCATGAGACCCAAAGTTGAAGACGCCTCCAGGCATGTAGCAGCAGAATCTGCTTGTTGCCCGAAGGGCACAGCCTGGCAACGTGAACGGGCACAGAACTCCCGCAGGGAACAAGAGGCTGATAAAGCGAAGAGATGCGTAGAGTGGGGTAGCCTCATCAGGTCATTGCGCTGTCTTAAGAAGGCGAGGAAGTCATCCTCTTCCACCTCCTCAACCGGTTGAAGACACGGCGTGTCGGTCTTCCTGAAGCCAGTGGGCTGCACACCCTGCGCCTGTCCTTCAGGTGCTGATGTATGGCTTTCTCGATCTTGAAGGTTGCCTGCAACCTGAACTGAATGAACTTAGCTACTCGACACTGGAAACAAGTTCTCCCAGAAGCCTCCCCTTTCGAGGAACTGCGTAAATACCATCGGCCCCGACCTTTGCTCCATGCCAAGTGCTGTCGACGGCCGCACACGGCAACACCGAGGGCGCACTAAGGGATGCTTGTAGCTGCCCTCGGAAAACTGGACGTGAAAGAAAGCCTGTGAACCAGAGATCCAAAAGTGTTTGGCGCAGAGCCGGGCACCCGCCTCGCCAGGGCTCACTTTGAGTCCGTCACAGGTTTTGTAGAGCATCCTGGCAGACATCCAAACTGGAAGGCTGTGGGATCTGTGGGATTGGAAATGCACCTGAGAACAGATCGATGATCAGGGCCTGACGACATTCGGCCCTTTCCTAATCGCCCCCCGCCCATTGGAAGCCTGAGCTGGTAACGATCCAGCTGCAGAGAGTACCGCGCACCCGGACAGTTGGCATTCATGAACTGCCTTGGCTCTGGTCAAAGGTGTCTTGCGAGAGAGTTCCAAGCCGTCTTGCAAGAAATGTACAGATCATCCACCGGATGTTTGCCGCCAGCGCAGCCTGCGTTTCGCAGGGGACAAGTCTGGAAATGTAGCCGTTGCGGTCTGGCCTTCGAAACGGACGCGATGCAAGCCTGACCTCAAGCTTCAAGAAGTTTCAGTGCCCGTCTGTTGGACGAGTGCGTCGTCTATGCAAGCATTGGCAGCTTTCCATGTTGCTCGTCGGCTGCAAACAAACTCCACCCGTCCCTCAGAAATAGTCTGCTCGGAATCAAATGAACAAGCAGTTGACAGCAGCAATGTGTTTGTGGGCGTTCTCTCGGTTGCAAAGCAGGGGTCTTTCGCAGTAGACTGCTTTCTGTCTCGCACAGGGTGGCTTCTGTGACACATGGCAGGAAATGCTTGCGTACAGTTTACAAACAATCTCCCAGACAGTTACTCTGCGATCAGCAAACGTTGGATGCGCGAGCTCTGCTGTTTCATGCAACAAACCGCGACTTCGACCGACATGACTCAACGCCAATGTTTGCTGTAACGGGCGATGTGTGGCAGCTTTTCTTCATGGTGTGGGAAGCAATGGCCGAAGCTCTTCAATAAAGTGTGCGTCCAACAGCAGCGGGGTAGTGCAGAGTGCAGTGCTCCGCTCTGCTTTGCAGCTCAAGGATGGAATTCCTGAGTCCTCGGGCCGCTCTCGCAAAAGCAGGCGCACGAAGCTCCTCATCCCAACCTGAAAGTGGCCGTGGGCTGAGGCCGGGCCCCGGCCCCTTTGCTTTTGCATTCTGTATGGATTTTGAATTGAATCGAGATGAGGTCGGAGGCTTAAGTGTGACAGCTAGCAGTCTAGCAGATGCTGCGAAGCCTTGACATGCTGCCGCCAAGCACACAGCGTGGGTAAAACGCACCGAGGTACTGGTCCGATCGGATTGAAGGAGATATCGAGCGCCTCAACAGCCGCTCTCTACACTTACACCTCTCGGGTGCGCCATGTGCAGCCTGTGCAGTGCCGCTAAGAAGCAGTTAGATGTCGATTCTCGGACAGCAGGTCCTCTCGTGCAGGGCGGCTTGGGCGAGCTACACTCCAACTCTCCAACCTTGCACTTCGCCTCTAGCACGAGGGCTGCACGATAGTCGATGTGATTCAACGAGATGTCCAGCTCTTTCAGCGGGCACCTTGCGAGGGCGTGGGGATGCAGCCTGTTCCTTGAACCCATGTCTGAGTAGCCAACGAGCTGGACAGGTATTCCAAAAACGTGGCCGCCTTGAAACGGTGCATGTAGACTTCGTTTCAATCAGTAAGCTGCACACTGGCATTTCCATGACTTCCTTTGCTTCCAGCTGGCTTGCCAATGTCATGCGCTCCGTGCACCTGAATGCAATCGCAACGCTTGTGGACATTGCAGCTCCTGGGCTCAAGGTACCTACTTACTCTCTCTCTTGCTTGCTTGCTCTCTCTCTCTCCCTCTCTCTCTCTCTCTCTCTCTCTCTCTCTCTCTCGTCCTTCCTTCCTTCCATCGGGGGGGAGTCCGCGAGCAGACCCGGGTCCAGGCCCCCCATCACCTTTGAACGGTGGAATAGAGCTTTGGGGTCGCTCCTCTCCCTGTCTCTATCCATCTCTCTCTCTCTCTCTCTCTCTCTCTCTCTATCTAGCAGACTCTCCCTTTTCTTTCTTTCTGCTGGGCTTAGGGGTCACTGTTGTGACCCTCAGGCCTTCGGCCCGCCCGTCCACCCCGGGTTTTAATGAGTGGACGGCATTGGGGTCCCACTGACCGTGGCCCTGAACTACAAAATATGCCCTGGCAAGTCCCCAACCCCGTACACTAGAGAAGCCCCAACTGGCCTCATCACCCTCCCCCAAGGTCTTCAGTAGGGACCGTGCTTGCCATAGAATGCGGCTTGCAGTCGGCGTCTACGGTGGCTTACCCCGTCGTCATCATCTTGATGGCCGGAACTGGAGCGCCCTCGCTCACTGTGGTCTCGCTCTTGGTCTCCAGCCGGCGTAGCCGCATGCCACGGTAGCGTTGTCCCTTGCGACTCTGCTTGCGTTGGGAAGGTCAACATCTCCCCCACCACGGCATGCTGCAGGCTGTCCGTCATCAACGCGTCGAGCTGGGCCGCCGACAAGGCTCCCCCCTCGTTTTGAGGGTTGCTGCTTTGCGCTTGCTCCTGGTTGTTCTGGTTCGTGTTGTTCTCGCTGTCGACACGAACCTTCTTCCAGTTCCCGGCGGCGTTCTCGGTCTGCAGGTTGTAGGCTGGGTGGTCGTCGCCCCCGTGTGGCTGCTCTCCACGGTTCTCTGTTTGCGTGCTATCATGCACGGCGTGGGGACCCCCAAACAGCGATTGCTGCCAGGCATCCAGAGCTTGCAGCACTTCCACGATGAGCTCTTGATCCCCCACATATGGCACCACATTGCGAAGACGTCGGGCAGCTTGTAGGAGGCGTGTGGTTGCCGAGGATTCCTGTCTGTTCTCGCCTCTCTCTCTCTCTCTTGCTTGCACTCAGCCAGAAGGAGGCTGAAGCCTCCCCCGCGCGCGTGCGCGCACTGGGTCTATCGTCTTTGTGTGAGACCCCGAGTAGTCCTGTAAAGTGTGCTTTGTGAGAGGGGTCCGGTCGCAGAAGAACAGTCATATGGGTTCAGCAGTGGTGTTTACATGTGCAAGCCTGGCCGGGACCTCAGCCTGTACCCTAGTGCCTTGTGCAGTGCGTTGGAAGTGCAAGGGGGACGGCTCTTTTTCTTGGCAAACGGATCAAAGCCCTGCAAGTGGCCATACGGATCCGTCCACCAAAACGGTGGCCCACAGAGGGGGCGTAGGCGCGAGGCCGGGGGGTTTCTTAAGTAGTGTAAAGGGTTGTGGGGTTTTGCCGGTGCCAGCCTGCGCAAAAGTTCCTCTAGTGGGGTCTCTCTCTCTCTCTCTCTCTCTGCTTTGCTAGGGGCTAGGAGCGGGAGCAGTCCTCCCGCCCCGCGCGGGTGCGCTGCCCCATCCACTATTTGGTATGGATGGGCTCGGACTGTACAGGAAATTTTGTGCCTCTGTTTTTCAAAGGCCAGTGGCCGGGTTCCCTTTAGGAGAAGCAGATGCTGGTAAGTAACAGGTCGTCGGTTCCCCGTGCCACTCAGGAGGTCTGCTTGGCGGGTCACCCGATCGGCTTTGTTGCGGGTAAACAACACGACGGCAACAAGGCTAGGTCGAGCCTGAGTAAAGTTGGGTGCCGAAACGGGTGACCCCCGGTGCCGGTTCCCTGCCTTTTTCTGAACCGCCTGGTCATACCTGCCTCAAACCGAACAGAAGCCTGATCCCTGCAGCAGCACTACCTGTGACTGAGGGGTGTGCGAGACCCTCGTGCCACCAGGGCCTCCCTTGTATGTGTTGGGGCTCTGTGTGGATATGAAAGCACCCAGGGCAGATCATTAAGTGTTGAGAAAAACTCCCTCTCCCTCTCTCTCACTCAGGCAAGGTCGGATGCGCAGCTGGAAATGCGCAAGCAGCGGAGGTGGCTATGCTGCACCTCAGAGTTCCCCGAGCTTCCCAAAAGCAGCATATGCTGAGGCCGCACGTCGCAGATCACACAGGAGGTAAGCTCGACTCGCTCTCGCCCAAGCTCATAAAGACCTGCTGCATTGACACAGCACATGTCTGATAGTGTCATCGGAGCTCGACCACCGCAAACAATGCCAATGTTGAAAAAGCTGCACCTCTGAGTCCAGGAGATTCCAGCCCAGGTCAAGCCTTGTTAACGTCATTTGCACAGTGCTCGGAATGCACAGTGCCATTTCGCATCTCCGTCGTCGCAAAGAACCACAAAAGCAGACAAGAAGCTCTCGAAGAGTCTGACTTGCCAGCAAATTGTGAATCCATCGGGATGAAACGGAGGCACCTCACAGACAGCAAAAGGACGCCAATCAGGCAACGCACACTTGGCTGCAGCACCCCGCAGAGTGGTTCATTGAGTGCTATCTCTGCTGCAATCGCTCAGAGACGGGTTCCAGCATCCCAAGCGTCTGAATTCACTGGTCGGTCTGGCTTCTGTGGCACCCGTTCAACCTGTCAATGCCCCTACCGGCCTCTAGTGCTACCCGGCCCTACGCGCTTTCCAAGCCTCAGCATATCTCGGTTCTCACTTCCCAGTTAAATCTTCGAGATGCTCCGAAGCTGTCACATCCTCAAGCTTCCCAAACATCCAGGGAGACGACCTGTTGCGCCAAGTCCAACGTCAGCGACAAGAAGTGTCTGCAGAGCTGGATGCCTGTAGCCGCAAAGAAGCTTTCTCGGCAACAAGTTGATTCACGTTTCGACAAGGTAGCTGCCGTCCCGCCAGATCACAGAAATTGCCAAGAGCCTCCGTGCTTTCTCAACGAGGAGTATTAGTATGGTGAGAGACGGCATTAACAGACGCCAGACTTGACCAGCCTGAATTCCAAACTTGAGGCCACTTAAGTCCTGAAATCCGAGGACAAGTCGCAACACAACGGACTGACAAGCGGGCGGTGCAGCTCGGCTCCAGATGTTGGAGCGCTTCAAAAGCTGGCGACTGGCCTTCGAGCAGCTTCAGCCTCCAGCTCTGCAAAGCTCTGCATTTAGTTCTGAGCAGTTACGTGATGTTACGTGGTGTTTGTATCTGTAGGCCACGTGCATGGAGTTGACAGTAAGGAAGGAAGTTCCCGTGCATCCTTTCCTCGCAACAGATCGCACAAGGAACCCCATCCCCATTCGTCGTATTTCACAAACCACTGCAACAGGAAACCACGAGGCCGCGTCAAGCTCAGGAAGGTCAGCGTATAGCCAGGGCCTTTGCCTAGGGAAACCTGGCGCTTGAAACGAACATTTTGTCACAAGCAACAGCTAACACAAGACTCTCGCTTTGAGCATGCGACGAGAAACTTGGCAACTGCCTCATCCGTGAGCTGGACATTGCCCTGCTCACAAGAGGCACGTACTACCAAAGATATCCGATGCAGCGACTAAGCTGCGAACCCCGCTGACCAGCCCTGACACAGGTGTCGATGTCTGACGAGGGCTGGCGCCGTGCCAGAGCTGACCCGGCTATCATTCCTAGCTTTCCCACCCCTCGCACCTCCAGGAATTATGCATGTGTGTGTATGCACGTGTATATATATATATATATGTATGTATATATATATATGTATATATATATATATACGGACGTACATATAATATGTATAAATAACATGACATGATATGAGATATGATAGCATAACATACTGTATAACACTATATACTAAGCTACTATACGTCACAGTATTACATCGTATACAATGTATATATATATATATATAATACTATTACTATACCATATTCTACTAGACTATCATTATTTTATGTTATACTATGTTATGCAATACTATACTATGACTATGTTATGTCAGTTATACAATATGTGTTTTACCATTTACAATACATATATACATATATATATATATACATATACACATCCGCATATCGAATCACAGAGGCTACTGCACACACAGCTCTTTTCACATCGCCAGTGCCGTCCCAGTCTGTAGAACCCGTGACTACGGGAAATGCTTTGGTAAAACATCCGGATGAATGAGGCTAGCAAAACCCGGGTCGACTCCGGGTTGCAAGCCCCACCCCGAACCAACACGGTTCGATATCCCCTCCGAATGCAGTCGAGAAAACTCTCGCTGCCCACCCTACGAGAGAGGATAGCCCCACGGGGGATCGTCTCAGAAAAAGGGAGGGAGGGCGGGCAACAAAATCCTGCCTTTTTGGCTCAACTGCCAAGGCTTGAACCAAAAGGCATGATGTCGATCGCAGATGATACATGTGCACCCAAGCCTGCCAAACTCTACACATGGCATACATCCGCATATCGAATCACAGAGGCTACTGCACACACAGCTCTTTTCACATCGCCAGTGCCGTCCCAGTCTGTAGAACCCGTGACTACGGGAAATGCTTTGGTAAAACATCCGGATGAATGAGGCTAGCAAAACCCGGGTCGACTCCGGGTTGCAAGCCCCACCCCGAACCAACACGGTTCGATATCCCAATGCACTAGTCCCAAAGCACTTCTACAGAAACTGAAACACCAGCATGGCCGGCACCAGAGGTAAAGACCACACCTCGGTAGGAAAAAGAGCGTGGTGGAGGCAGAAGCCGCGAGAAGCAGCCCACGGATCCGACGAACCCAATCGACTGATCGAGTCGGACCAGTTGGACTTACTGGGTACCCACTCCCAGCAAACCCAAACTTGGAGAGAGAAGAGGGCCACATGAATGAGGTGTGCCAGCCAGCCGCTCGAGGTCAGGAGAATCGGAACGCCCTCGAATGAGTGCCATAAGCGCGGCCACGTTGTCAATATACCACGTGCCACGACGAGAGCGAAAGGTAGAGGCCCGGGCTGTGAGGGCGAAGAGGACCATTGATAACTCGAGCTGCGCGATTTTAACCTCACCTGGGAGGAAGGCATCGTACGTATGCCGATCGACCTGTGCCACGAAAGCTTCACGGCCAGGCTCACTGCCCGGCCAGAGCAACAGGAAACCACCCGTGCCCTTGCGCGGTTGGTCCTCGCGGCGTCGCTAGCTGCGACGAATCGGGCACAGGGGGAGGGGAGCACCTCCACGGACCGACGTGGCCGCAGTGCCAAGATGGCTCGGATAACCTCCAATGACGAGCGGATAGCTGGGGTCAACTCCCGAGCTGCCTCATATTGGCGTTCCTTGAGGGCGCCAATGCCCCCAGTGCCAATCGGCCAACACCCCCTGTTCGAGAAAATTGAGCATTCCATACAGCTTCGACGCCAAGCCTGGCGGTAGGCAACCATCCTGCTCGGCCTGCAGCAAAAGGCCCTCGACCTTGGCCTGGAGCCGGAAGTCCCCTCTAACCCGAGGAAGTCGCCGACCGTACCCATCGGTTGTCGCATTGGCCTCTGCAAAAGGGGAGCCTAAAAGTCTGCCTGAAAGCGCCCCTGCCTGCTGGCCCTCCGCCGTACGCTGCATCAACCTGCAGGCGGGATCGGAGAGAGAAGGGGCCAACGCGCCATCCCAGCGAAGCCCTTGCTCCCGCAGCCACTGGGGAAAGAGGGTGAAGGGGGGACTGTTCACCAGATCCTCCATGAAAGGAAACACAAAGCCTCGGAAGGCTGAAGAAGGAAAAAGGCTGCAGAAGGCTGTAATGACCGACTCCTGGGAGGAGTAAGGGATAACTTCGGCAACGGACGCCGGCAACTGGGTGAAGGCAGCCCACGCAGCACTCCATGCCGCTGCCAACCACCGCTCCTCCGACTGGCTGCCATTTCGTACCACACAAGGCCTGCCAAGACATCCCTGTCACACAAAGATCCCAAGGGGCAGTCACAGACCAAAGTCACGCCCCGCAGCTCGGGAAGAGATGTCCAGAAATTATCGATGATATGCTCGACAAAGAGATGCATCCACTCAGAAGGGGCGCAGTCGTGTCCTGGCGTGTACGGGGAGCACCATTTTGTGACTGGCAGCCTGTGTGAATGGTGCCCGCGCCCCACATAGATGTGCCCTGGCGGCAACGCCCGATCGTGCAACTCGACCTCGCCGACGGGCCTCCCAAATGGAACCAAACGGTCCATGTCCGGATCATGTGGTCGCAGGCCCAGAAAAACGGCCATGGGCTCCACTGCCCAGTCCGGCCCGAGCCAAAGGGTTGACATCCACCCAATGCTCGCGCCGACCTACTGGCTCGACCAACGGCCATTTGTGGACCCTGAGCCGCGCCCTGCCACATCTAGCTGCCCACCAACTCACCGAAACTGCCACGGAAAAGGCGAAGCAGGCCGTGGGAGCGCGCGCAGTTCCACGCGACCCATCCTCCCAGGGGTTACTCCCCTGAGGCAGGTGGCGGTGGTGGCATCGGACCGAAGGCCACTGTTGGATCTCGCCAACGTTGTGCCGGAGGAACCTGGTGTGCTTGTGCACGTCCAAGAAGATATAAGACTCGGTAGGTATGTTGGGGGAGGTGCCAGCCCCGTCCAAATGCAATCGGCCTCCTCGGTCAGGCAGTCTGCGGCCCGGACACTCCAACCGCAGCGAAAAGCCCGACCTACAGTGGTGTCAACACGGTGGAGCATCACCATGCAGGGGGTCAACTCACCTTCGAATGGGGAGTCTGCAAACCCAGGCTCAGACTCAGCACCCCCTTCTGCTGGGCCAGGGCCCCATCACGAGCTCCTCGCCTTGGCCTTCGCCTTGCATTTCGCCGCACCGTGGTTGGGCGCGCCACACACCCTCTCGGCACGAAGGACCACGGCGCAGCGATGAGCCTCATTCGGGCACGGGGGCGAGTGCTTGCAAGACCCCCTGGAAGTCGCCGCACAACTTCGTCCCGTCCTTCATGACGCGGGCCGTGGGTTTGCCCCCCACCATCGGCCCCCCAACAAACAAGGAGGAAACCTTGGTGGGCTCAGTGGTCACCGGCTGGGGCTTCGGCGCAGCCGGACTGGCGTCAGGAAGTGCCGGGGCCAGCCAGTGGGCATCTCTCGCCTCCATCACCTCTTTGATGACTGCGCCGAGAGTCCGGGTCCCCTCCCGGAACCGCGAGACCCACTCGGCTCGCTCCTCGGCATCCCGATGCTGGAGCCAGCCCAAGCGCTGCCCAGGCGGGACCTGCATGGCGGCCTTGCGGGCTCTGTAGTAGTACGCCAGCACGCAGTCCAGCGGTACCTCGACGAACTGGCAGGTGTTCGCCCCCAGCGCTTTCTCCCCCGCCGGGTCAACACCCGAGATCGCCTGCACTCCATTGAGCGCATAGGCAATCATAAGCGTGTGGAGCTTGTGCAGGTACGTGTCCACATCCCTGGCAACAACCTCATCAACCTCGGGTTCGTCGGTATAGAGGCCATCGGCCAATTTGCGCCGTTTTTGCGAGGTGCCCAATTGAAATTGCAGGGAGCGCACTCTCCAGACGTCATAAATACAAAGCATCCTTTTGGTCAATTCTCGGGAGATACGGGACACTGTGGCATCGGAGGGTTGCACTTCGGCAGGGAAGCGCAACTTGTAACGAATCCAAAACGCCTCCTTCAAAGACCGAAGTTCAGAGTCCGCCAACATCGAGTCGAGGTCGGCCAAAGCAACCTTAGAGCGGTCTTGCTCCGCCTGGGCATAGTACGTACATGTTGCCTTCCACGCCCTGCGAAGCCGGGCGGTCTGCAACACGGTGGCATCTCCTAGGCCCAACTTCCCTACCCAGGTGCCCACGGCCGCCTCGTTTTCAAACAGGAAACGAAACTCTTCAAGGTGGCCGATGCCAGTGTTGAGCACTTCGGTGACAACCTTGGAATCCAACCCGAAATTCATTTGCAGGCTGCTCAGGCTCGCTTTTATGTCCTGCTCCACGCGAGGGACAAGCGAAACTGACGACATGGAGCCTACACCGAGGTCACCTCTCGGAACAGCCCTCGGTCAAGGGGCGAACTCCCCGCCTATTGCCAACCTCCGCGAACCCCTCGGTCTCCTCCGAGGTAGCGGTACCTTCGAGCAAGGCGAGGGCCGACTGACTGGAACAGAGGAGAGGAAGAGAAGAGAGAGGGCAGCAGAAAGCAAACGAGGCGAGAGAGAAGGGGAGGGCTAGGGACGAGGTGCAGGCACTCAGTCACAACTGTATTCCTACAGCGACTGCTCCTACACTCAGCGGCCCGAGCACCCTCTTTTTCACGCTTCACTTGCCAAGATGCGATACCAGCCACGGCGGGCACACGGGCTCTTATGCGGCACCCACAAAATAAGATTTGCTGGCGGCGAACTGGTCGACTTCGAATTACCGGCACATAGCGGCGAAAGCCTCGCTTCGTCGAGGTGCCTATGCCGGAAAATACTTGGAGGATGCTCGAGAAAAGCAGCCCTCACAGATGGGTCGCTCCCATCCAATGGCCTCTAGCTTGCTGGTCGTGCGCTG